ATATATATATATATATATATATATATATATATATATATATATAACATAAAAGACAGTTTGGATGCTTTTAGAAACCTTAATGTTGAAAATAAATTCAATCAAAAGGTGCATTCCCAATATCTAATTCATGTTTACAAATTACATTTTGAGTTGTTTTGTATTAATACTATGTTGTATAGGATGGAATATTGTCATTTTGATATTTGATTTGGTTTGCAGCCTCTATAAGGTCAGATATTACAAAAGGACAAACAAAATAGTAAGTAAATGTAAATTGAATAATTTTTTTTAAAATATAATTGTAGGAATGTTTGGGCTTCTTCTTTTGCTTGGAGCATAGAAGTGTGTTGTGTAGGAAATGTGATGTAAATGAACATGAAGGGAACTCACTCCGCGCCATGCACCAAAGGATGCTGCTTTCAGGGATTGAAGTTGAACTTCACCAAATTCAAGTGACCCAGCCTTCAAATATGTCCCACTTTTCTGCTTTGTCTCACTTTCCAGAGGTAATTGATAATTATGTAATTGATTGTTTATTTTTTTAATTTATAATCAAGTTAGTTGAGAATACTGATATTCATTTAAAATTAAATGTTATTTATTTTTTTAATTTATAATCAAGTTAGTTGAAAAACAGCTATTGATATTCATTTAAAATTAAAAGTTATGTATTTAATAAAAAACATGCATGATAGCTTGAGTACATAAAGATAATAATATTAATTGAGCAGCCAAAAAATAAATAAATATATTGTGCAATAAATTTAGTCGATAAGCGAAGCTTATTTTTGGTGTTTTAAGTTTGAACAAAATGCAAATGTGATGGGCAATGATTGGATTCCATCAGCGGAGTTGGGATTGATGAGAGAGGAAGCAAATTTAGAGAGTAGCCTTCCCAGTGATAATGGGCGTGTGCAAGACTTGGCAGATCTTACTCAATCCTGGCTTTCTGAGAACGGTGAACACTAGCTTTAGTTAATATATTTTCGGAGAAGGAATGTGTAGTATTAGTATAGAACTGCTTTTAAGTTATTAGAACGTAGTACAATGGATTGGAACTTTGTTTTTCTGTTTTCTTTCCTTAGCGTATGTGGATGTGATTTGGATTTTGTGG